GTTTTTTCCCATGTGACCGAGTTGTTTTCCCGAAGACCAGCATGAACAAAAAACGTGGCTCATCAATCCACCTGTACAAAAAAATAAAAATCAGAATTCTATATAAAAGGGCTAAAGTTGTTTTTATTTTTAATGATCATTATTAAATATATCTTATATATCATCGCGGGCTGTGTCTCAGCATTATGGATGTCCTCAAAGGGGGCCAGTTTGTAACTGTAAAGATCTTTTGATGTCCAGAGCACCATCACCCCCCCCACCCCCCCCCCCCCATTACCTCAGATGCCCAAGAACCCCACACCACTCCCTAACATCAATGTGCACATCCGTTGGCGGGCAGAGCTGGGATAAGGCAGGAAAGTGCAGGGTTATGGAGTGGGCAGGATCCAGAGGAGAGGAGTTAGACACTGCTCAGATTGAGAATCCAGGAGTGCTGCTGAGAATCGCCATCGAGAAACCAAGGGGAGGTGAGGAGATGAGGGGATGCTTCAAAGCAGCTGCTTGCTGAGAGTACAGGATTTGGCTCGAGGAGTTCTTTTCTCCTCTCTGCTGCCGACTGCTGAGACAAGGTGGGGGAGGAGACAAGGGGGTACACTGCCAAGGAAGAGGTGCAAGGGCTAACATGAAATAACTTAGAAGGCAGGATCAAGGAATACAGGTTTGTTTGACACCTGTGGCTATAATACAATAAAGAAAAGCATATGTACATCATCATTTTTGATAATCTATATAAGATACATAGAGTGGCGGAACGGAAATATAATACGCTTCTCAAGCTTTTTAGTCTAGAGGCTTTCTTCAAAAGCACATCACCGCAAACACGTTATTCTTTTTTTAAGGGCCTTTTTATGCCCACTATTATTTACATAAAGAAGGTTTCCACATGAACACAAAATGCATCCCACAAACAGGGGTGAATTACCACGATTCAAAACAAAATTCAGCCTTAACGGGGCTCTTTCAGCGACACAGCTCACTGTCTGTCTCCTGCAGACTCACCCTGACCTCTTCCCAAACTTATGACCAACCACGCACACAGAGCTAGTCTGGCTTCCACCTGCCTCCAAGCAGCAGAGACCCTCCTAGTCGTCTGCCAGGCTGGGAGCCCTCCTGACTCCGACCTGCCGGGGTTGGATGCCCTCACTGACACCTATCTCCGGGGTGGAAGGGTGGAGCCCTCCTCACATTCAGAACACTGATATGACTTCTCTCCAGTGTGAATCCTCTGGTGTGTGATAAGATGTGACTCTGTGTAAAAGCTTTGTCACATTCAGAACACTGATATGACTTCTCTCCAGTGTGAATCCTCTGGTGTGTGGTAAGATTGTGACTTCTGTGTAAACACTTTGTCACACTCAGAACACTGATATGACTTCTCTCCAGTGTGAATCCTCTGGTGTATGATAAGATTGACTTCTGTGTAAAAGCTTTGTCACATTCAGAACATTGATATGACCTCTTCTCACCAGTGTGGATGGATCCTCTGGTGTCTGATAAGATGTGACTTCCATGTAAAAGCTTTGTCACATTCAGAACACTGATATGGCTTCTCTCCAGTGTGAACCTTCTGGTGTGTGATATGTTTTGCCTCCATTGTAAAATCTTTGTCACGTTCCAAACAAGAAATAGCTTGAAATGACTCCTCTTATGTATACATGGGTTGGACTTTACTGTAAAGCAATTGTCACATCCAGAACACTGAAATGACTTTTCTCATGTTGTCCTCTGAGGTTGGATCAGTGTTGAAGAGGACCCAAAGCACTTATGACATTTAGAACACGGATATGACTTGTGTCCTGTGTGACTCCTCCAGTGAACTGCAATAAAAACTTTCAGTCAATTAAGACACCCAGATGTTTGGTTTCCCATGTGACTGAGTTTGTATTCACGAAGACCAGCATGACCAAAAACGTGGCTCATCAATCCACCTGTACAAAAAAAAATAAAAATCAGAATTCTATATAAAAGGGCTAAAGTTGGTTTTTATTTTTAATGATCATTATTAAATATATCTTATATATCATCGCAGGCTGTGTCAGCATTATGGTTGTCCTCAAAGGGCCAGTTGTAACTGTAAGACTAGATGTCCAGAGCACCTCACCCCCCCCCCCCATTACATCAGATGCCAAGAACCCCACACCCACCCTAACATCACCGTGCACCTCCTTTGGGGGCAGAGCTGGAAAGCAGAAAGTGCAGGGTCTGGAGGAGGACCAGAGGAGGAGTTGGAGTCAATTACCAGAGTCTGCTGAATGCTGAGACCAAGGGAGGTGAGAGATGAGGGGATGCTGCAGCTGCACTGAGAGGTGCAGGATTTGGCAGAGGAGTTTTCTTTTCTCCTCTCTGCTGCCGACTGCTGAGACAAGGTGGGGGAGGAGACAAGGGGTACCTGCAGGAGAGGTGCAAGGGCTACATGAAATAACTTAGAAGGCAGATCTGGATACAGGTGTTTGACACCTGTGTTATATATAAAGAAAGCATATGTACATCATCATTTTGTATATATATTGTGGGAACCTCGCTTCACCAGTTTTAGAGCTTCTTCAAAGCACACAGCAACTCGTTTTCGTTTTTTTTAAGGGCCTTTCTTTTGCCCACTTTTATTTACAAAAAGGTTCACATAACACAAATCCTATATCCGGGGGGGAGCCCAGAACCATTTTAAAGGAAACTCTAAAAAAAAGGCCTCCCACAAAACCTGTAAAAATAAGTGGCGGGGTGTTTCAAAACCCACGACCCGGGAAATTGGTTTATTTCATCCCCCCCCAATCTCTTTAAAAAATCTCCGGGGTTTCCAGATCCCAAAAAAAAACTTAATGAAAAAATTTTAAAAAGGGAAAAAGCCCAAGTTTTTTTCCCCCCTTGCAATACATAAACTCTCGGGGACCCCCTCAACCTCCCTGGTTGAAATCCGGGTTTTGGGTTTTAAAATTTTGACCGTGGCAGGACCCCGCCCCTGCACATTTTCCCCCCCCTTTTTTTTAAACCGCCCGTAGGGGGGGCAAAACCACAAACCAAAAAACCCTTGTTTTTAAGACCTTCTGTGCGGGCTATCCCCTTTTAAAGGTAAAATCCTGGCGGGACTTCATTTTCAAAAAAGGGGAAACCACTACCCCTGCCCCAAAGGGATTTCCCCCTGTCTCCCCTTACTTGGGGCTCAAAAAAAAAAAACATCCCCTCCTTTTTTAGGGAGTGATGCTTCCAAAAGCGCGGCCCTTTTTAATTTCCCTAAGACAAAGCTATTTCCTTTTACCATGGGGGGTTCCCCCAAATCTCAGTCCCCTTTGTAACCTGGGGTTAACCCTAAGCTTTAAGTGCCAGGTACCTTTAACTTTAAAAACATGCCCCCCCTAAAATTCCATTAACCCCTTTTTTGGGCTTTTTTTTAATTTTACAGGGGTTTTTTTATTTTTTAAACCCTTTAGTAAAAATGGGCTCTTTTAAATTGTGGAAATCAAAACTCTATTAACACCCCCCCTTGTTAAGTTTTTGGGGCCCCCATTCCCCTTAACCTTTCATTCTTACAACTTGGGCGTTTACGGGACCTTTAAAAAATTTTTTCCCAGGGGGTGCCCTTTCCCGGGAACCCTGTGGGGGGCCTATTACTTTTCTTTTAACCCTTTTTTGTGTCTTTTTAAACACTTTTAAACCTTTTCAGGATGACCAGGTACCATGTCAACTTGACCCCAGGTTTTTCCATTTTTTTTGTTATCACACACAAAAACAACAACCCAAAATTTCATCTAACTTTTCCCCTTTTTAATTCAATCCCAAAAAATTTATTTGGGGGTAAAGGGCTCATTTCACAAAAATTGGGGCGGGGCAGTTTTGGAAGGAATCACCCACAGTGGGTGGGCCTCTCCCATGGAAACATCATTTTCCCCCCCGACTTTCAGTTTTTCAAAAAAGACTCTGCCAGCAAACGCCCTGAAACCAAACCATCCTTACATAATGCAAACATTGGGGTTACAACCCCAACCACACCCACATATACATTTGTCTTCCGGCACTTTGCCCAAACCCTCGGCCCCTTTCCAGAAATACTCGGGGTGGGGCCCTCTCAAAAACAGTTTACGCTATAAGAAACCCAGAAATGCACTGAAAAAACAATTTTCACCACTACCAACAAAGGTTTGGTATCACAAAATTTCCCCTATTTTACCATCTTTGTTTTGTATAGCTTGTAAAAACCCTGCTCCGTTTAAGCGGGCCCCCAAATGTACCAGCTCTCCCGAAAAAAGGAAGAGACAGAAAGGGTTAACCCCGGGCTTACCTCCAGAAGGCTAAACCTTTTTCCTTCAGCAGGTCTGTTAAAAAAAGACACCCTGATTCCGGCACCCCAAACCTTCCTTTTAACAGGGAGACACTCTTTTAAAGGGATGCCCCCCGAGGGGGCTTCTTAACAAATTTCCTCCGGTGGTTCCCCAAATACAAAAAACGGGGGGCTTTTCCCGAGCGTAACCGGGGGGTTTGGGGGGATTCCCCAAAATTACCCCTGGGGTTCATTAAATTGAGCTTTTCCCAAACATCTTTTATGGATATCAATTTGGTTTTCCACATTTTTAAAACTCTTTTAGGGGCTGGGGGAAAAAACTTCTCTGAGTGTTTATCCTCAATGGTCCCTTTTTAAACCAACGGGGGGGTAAATTTTTTGGCAGCGAAAAGGTGCGCCCGGGGACAAAATAGTTTGCCCCACACCCCCCTTTTAAATTCACCCCACAGCAAAAACCATGTCCCCCCCATTTTTTACCCAAGGGGAATCTTTTTATTAATGCCAACAACCCTTTTTGGGCCCTTTCTGTCCCAGTCCATCATCCCTTTGAGCCCAACAGAGGTTCTACGCCAGTACCACTCCCAAACCGGGTGAAGGAGACCAGAGGGGGCAGAGTTTGGGTCTGTATCAGACCCATTACCTAAATCTTTTATTATCCCAAATCACCCCTGAAGACTCCATTTCTAGGCCCCAGAGGGTTTCCAAAATTTTCCCACCAAAAACCCCCGTTTTTCCTAGTGGCATGCCATTCACACAAAAAAACCCTTTTCATTTGTGGGTTGCATTTGGGCCCTTTATTATGAAAAACATTCATTCCTTTTTGATTCACCTTGCCACCTGAAATAAAAAAAATTTCCCCATCACTCAAAAAAAGAATTTGCCCGGTCCACCAGAAACAACACCATAGTTTACCTGGGGTTTCCTTTAAACCCCCGTTGTAGGGGGGAAAAAACCCCCCCCTGCTTTTGGTCCCCCCTACTACATTTTAAATTTAACATTTGTTTATAGGACATTTGGTTTTCAACCCCAATATAAATAAATCTTTTCCCTTTTTTAAAAAAGTTTGCCCCCCACTAAAAGGGATTATACGAGGGAAATCTTTCCCCACAATCACCACGTGGGTTTCCCAAACTGGGGGTATCCCCCCTTTTTTAGCAAGGAGTCTCAAAGTTTTTCTCAAACAGTTTCATTAGGGATCGCCCCATTTATCTCAAAAGTACCAGTCTTTACCCCACCCCTTAACAGGCTTTCCCCCCCCTTGAAATGCGTGGGGTCTGGTTCCCTTTTTGTCAATTCCCCCTGCTTGGCTTTTCCAGCCGTTCATCCATGCGCTATAGGATGATACTGGTTTGGGAGGCACTTCCCCCACTCCTTGGCCCCCCCCTGAGGCACACCCCGGTACTTCCTCACTGTTTTTCTTTAAAGGGGGCCGCCCCAAAATTTTTTTAAACCCCAAACCTTGGCTTGCATGGGGACTTTTTCCCAAATAGCCTTCATCCGTGGGGATTACAAAAACGGGGGGGAAAAGGTTAAAAAAACCCCTGCCCAAAAAGACCACATTCCAGGCAGGGTATGGTTCCCACCGATAACCTTCTTGGGAAAAAATGGGAACCAATCTCCCCCCCTAACCCCCCCTTCTTCCCCGGTTTTTCCGGGTTTTTTCCCGTTGGTATGGGAGATGGCACCTCCCAGCTGAAAATTTGTGGGTTTCCCCCCAATGGGGCTGAACTCTCATTTTTCTGCGTTGCCACAATCCTCTGGGAATGAAATTCTCTCCCCGGGGCCCCCCAGGCCTGAAGTAACATGTTTTTTGAATGGGCAACCAAAATTTTTTTGAAAAATTTTGGGCAGCCCGCTGCTCCTTCCTGGGAAATCCAACAGGCTTCCCCAATTTTTCCCAAACCCAGACCTTTTTCTGGTTCTGTCACCTTGTACTGGAAACCCGGGATAAAGGGGAATTAGACAGGGTGCCCCCAAATTTACTGCACCGCAAAAAAGCGCCCTTCTTGCGGCAGTATCTTTTTGCCGAACTTCCCAAAACTGCATCCTCTTTAGGCTTAGTAAATTTTCACACAGAAAAAATGGGTTTTCCTTTTAGCAGCATTGCCAGGGACAACAGCATGCACTTCCCCCTTGGCAAAATCTGTCAGCCATTTTCGGGGGCTTGTTTTGGTTTGGTTTAAAAACCCCTCCCGGGCCCCAAAGGGTTTTGTCTCTCATTTTTAGAAAAACTTGCTT